CCAGAGAAAGAAGAATGAGGAGGAGCGCCAATGAGGAATTGAAGAAGAAAGCCTACGACGACTAGGGTTTTGGGTGGTTGTTGGAGTGTAGATCCGTCCCCGACCTCCTTCACCTCCAAGAACATAAGGTTTGACGAACACGATCATCGCTATCGATTAGGGTTTCAAACTGATTGAGGTTGTCGATCTCCTTCTTCATTTGTACGCCGCCATCGATCTCCATCAGATAGGGTATTGAGATCGATGATTTCTAACATATGTTTTGATCGATTTTCAACAGAAGTTTAGATCGATCCGGGCCTCCATCGTCACCCGGACGATGTCATCCGAGATGGAGAGGGTAATAGAAGGTGGTAGCAGGTGGTGATTGTAATTTGATTCGATGTAGGTTTACAAAGGAGGTGAGAACGGGGGAGAAAGGAAAGGGTGTACTATGATTTAAGGGTGATAGAAAGTGGGTGTTGGCGATTTCCTGCGATGCTTATGGGGATATTTGTTTTATGTATTTTTTTATAATTTAAATTGATAAAGAAATGAAAGAAAATGAAAAAAGAAATTAATAAGGGTAAAATAGTCATTTCATGTCCATAGGGACTAAGCGTGCAAGAAAAAACAAACTCAGGGACGGTCCGTGTTAATTTTTCAAAATAGGGACTAAACACGCTTTTTGGCATATGCACGAGTGACGATTGGTTGTAATTTACCCTAAACAAAATCAAGATCATTGTGATATTTACAAATCAAGGCCTAACATCACAAAAAGAATATCAAAAGTATAACATGTATAATTCAGAATGAATTTATCTAATAGACGCATTCTTTAGATTAAACTAGATAATAAAGTTATAAAACTAAAAGGAAGGGATCAAGACCGTGTTAAAATCAATGTGAAGATTTTAATATTTTAATATCCTATTCCGGATCCTAAAAACCCATTGTAGATCACATAAATCCTAATAAGATTGAGGTTTTTTTGTTTGTAAGATATTAAAATTGTAAAATCTTAAAATCAAGATCACATGATCTTAAGGTACACTAACGCACATTTAACACAGCATTAAAACAAAATTTAATAACTCTCTAATTCAAAAAGATTCACATGAGAAGTCTTATTTAATTTATAACAAAAAACTACCAAAATTTCGAACTTTTTCTTTTTTTGGTAAAGAAGCAAAACGGATTACAAGTAAAGTGCGTAACTCATCGTCCTTTGTCTCCTCGATGGGAGTCAAGCTGCCAACCACGCGTCCTTATTTTGAGCTGCAAATCTGTCACTGCCGCTAAAAACCTCACGTTCTGCACCGGCGTTAATATCTCCACCACCCTCTCCGCCACTCTCGACCTCAACATATCCGCGTTCGCCACAACCACCTCCAACTGCTCTTTCAATGTCTCAAACGCCGATTCCATTTTGTCATACTTCCCATCCGCCAACCAATTCTCTCCTCTCCTAGCAACCTCAACAATCGGCGGCGCCGCTACGCTTTCCTGAATCATCGCCAACTCATTCTCCAATTCCCTCTCCTCAGCCTTCGTCTCCGCCTTCAGCCTCTCCATCATCTCCACCTGCTCCTTGTTCATATCCTCCACCGAAAGATCCACAACGCGAAACGTTAATCCGAGATTAAATCCAGCAATCCAGAAGAAACTCCGTTCAAAAGACGAAAACCACGGCGGCGAGAAAACTAACGACACATCATGGTTTGCAATTCGAGATTTCTCCTCGAAGTATTGCAGGTAATGCGCAAGAACACGAGCGATCAAATCACGGAGATCATCGTCGGAGGCGTCACAGGTTTGCATAGCCGATCGGAGGTCTTCCAGGTAATGTTCCTGACGAACTAACCATCCTTGGAAGAAATTCTCGAACTCTTTTACATTTGTGTCGATTGTTCTTCTGGATTTCGTCATTTGGAACGAAGACACCAGAAAATTTTGCTTGAGCTGCTGAAATTTATACGGGGGCGGTGGAAGAGAAATTTGCCGATGGTTCTGGAATGCTTGCGAGTACAAGTGGAATATGCAGGCAAAGGTGACGTATGAAGTAACCCTGGTTACAGGGAGCTGCGAGTGGCACGTACGAGGCTTATCCACCGACACCCCATTTTTTTAATCGGACTCCGATTATCTATGTCACTATGTCAGCTTACTCTTTTGTTTTTTTTTTATTTTTTTATTTTTGGATTATGTTTTAGTTTTTCAAAGATTTATATTTTTTTTGTTCATGTGATGATTTTTTTGTTCGTTTATTTCTGTGAGTTTAAAAAAAAAAAATGTCTGTAATAACAAGTTATCATGATATATTATTTGTATAAAAACACTTAAGTTTATAAATATTTTATTTTTAATAAATATGTTTTTTTTTTAAAAGGGAACTTCCCTAACTAGGGTTTTCGGACCAGCTTTCACGTACCGACTAATCCCCCACTGGAAACATGAAGCTTTGCCTCATGTCGATAATTCAATGCAAATATGTTTTTTTCCACAAAGATTTAAAGGGTTTATTTATGTATTTTACCCTATGTTTACATATTATATGAATAATTTTTTTTTTGAACGGTTGATTACATAAACCACATTCTAACAAGGAGCTAGAGCAAAAATGAACCAATTACATCAAGTATAAAAGAGGGTTTTGAAACCAATGGTGCCATTTAAATTGGAATTTATACTTCCTATGAGCTATCCAACTAAAAGCAATCAAAACTATGTCATCAAACATTTTATCCTTTCTAGGTTTATTTGTATTAAAGATGCATCTATTTCTGAAATTCCAAACCGAACCACGACGTAGTGACTATGATCAGTTCCAAAACTGCTTTACGAGCCACATACACATGCAATGAATCCAAAAAAACCAGGTAATTCACAAATAAAAATAAAATTAGATAAGTCTATATCACACCAACAAATAATCTTAAGAATAATTTGGAACACAACTTCACACTTGATGAGCACATGTCAAATATCTTCTATAGAGTTGTTACAAATCAGGTATAAGGCACATGGAATGTTAATACCACGGCTAGACAAGTTTGTTTTAGCAGGTAAATGGTCAAATGTAGCTCTCCATGGAAATATATTAACCTTATTTGGAAAGATCTTATTCCATTCGATCTTGATAAGAAGTGATGTCACTATGTGTTCATCAATACGAATTTAAGCATCCTAAACAACATACCAAAATCATTATTAAGATTTGTAAACTTAAGGGTTTTTTTTTTGCAAAATATTTTATAAACTTAAGGGTTTTTTTGCAAATAATATTTCATGATAACCTTGACACCTATTATTACAGGTAAAATAGCAAAAATAAAAAAGGTTGAAAAACTTAAGAAAAAACGAAGAAAAAATCGTCGTAGAGACAAAACCAACCAAACTTGACAAACCTAAGGACTTTTTTGTCAATAACGTTTTTTAGAGTGATCATTGTGTGTTTGGGCCAAAAATTGAACTGTAAAATGTATGCATCTTTGTAACATTCGAATTTCGGGTATTCCTCTTTTGCCCTCAAACTTCAAACTTTTTGCATTTGGGTCCCCGGCCAGTATGTTGGGCATACGTTAGGAGTACGTTGGGCGTACTAGGCCAAAAAGTTGGTCGTGGAGGCATCTACATACACTGGGCGTACCTAGAGTCTGTTGGGCGTACAGTCACCTAGGACAAACCCTAATTTTTTGGTTTGTAGCCCTATTTAAACACCTTAATTTGCTCTTCTTGGACCTTCATATGACCAACATCCACCTCTCCAAACCCTGAGAATGAAACCCTAATTTCCATTTAATTGTTTTGAACTTGGGAGTGACCTTTGAGGGTGTTTTTAGAGATCTTCAAGGAAGGAGAGCTCTTGGAAGTTATGTTGGTGTAGTTGAAGCTTGTGGATCCAGAACCATCACCAACTTGGAAAGTTTTTGGAGGTATAAAGCACTTAACTTGATGGCTCTTTATGATAGATATAGTTTATGGCTTGATTTTGTGAACTTTATGGTCCGTTAAGTCATGCTTGGGGGTATAGGCTACACTAGAAGAAGCTAGGGATGGTAGATCTTAGCATTTCTTAGGTTCCTTGTGCACAAAAATGATAACTTGATGGGTTTAGCTCATCCATGTAGGGTTCATGTCGATTTAATGAAGTTAGAATGCTAGATTTGGACTTTGGGGTGTTTTTAGCCATGAAAAGGCATAAAGTCTTCGACTTTATGGTTTAAGACCTTGCTATGAGGTTGTTCTGAGGGTTGGTCGTTAAGTTCTTAAGTGGTTATGTAACGCCCGTAGATCCGGGCTAGTTAATTTAGAGATAACAGGGGTCGAAAATGATTTTTCGACAAATGATTATTTAGAATAAATAATCTTAACTAAATTGTAGAATATGTCTCAAAGGTTCCGTACATATAAAGAACGATGAAATCCGAGTTATAACGAAGAAGTAATGGCCCGTCGAAGTTTTTTGGCAAAACCGGCACTACATCGGGAGACGTAAATAGTGAATTTAAGATAGGGCTTTTTAGCCTTAGGGATCTAAAAAAAATTTGTAGTATACATTAAACCGAGAACATACAAAAAAAAAAAAAAAAAAAAAAAAAAAAAAAAAAAAAAAAACGCCTAAATCTGACTTCGTATGAGGAAGTTATGATTTTTCTAAGATTTGGCATAGAAGTGCACGGTCCGAAACTCGAATTTTAGTTCGAGCGGTTTTTGGCTTACACAACCTTAATGAAAGTTGAAGATCTCATTAATAGGAACTCAACGGTAAAAAGATAGACGAAAACGGAGTCCGTATGAAGGAGTTACAAATTCTTCGCGGTCATTTAGCTGTCTAATCTCCTCCTACAGTTAAATTTAAGATCGGTCGAGAATTAGCCAACGAAGTCTAAATGAAAGTTGTAGATCTTGTTTTTACCTACGCGTGGATATAAAGAACGTCAAAAACGGAATTCGTATGCGAAAGTTATGAATTTTTGAAAATCGACTGCTTTTATCCCTGTGTGCGATGTCACGTATCAGCACCAGGCTGCGCTTGGCTGTAGCCAGCCTGTCTCACGACGTGAATATCAAAAATTCACGATGTGAACCTTCCTCCAGCCCATATAAATAAGTGGTGAGGCCTCCATTCATTCTTACACCTTCCTACTTCTTTCCCTCTCTCTAGAACCTCTCTCTAGCCCCCCGAAACCCCCCCGAAAAGCCTAGGGAACCTCCCTAGCACGAGGCAGAAGCCCCGGAGCGCCCGACGGCTCCGAGAAGAAGAGCCTTTCGGCTCGGGAACGCTGCTCCAACGGAGCCCGGTTTTGAGAGAAACCCGTTGTAAGTGAGCGACGTCTATCCTATCCTTAGTATAACTTATGTTTCGATATAATAACATTATTAGGACCTTAAAATAATTATTTGGGATATTATTATGAGTTATATAGAGCGTTGTTTAACGCTTATATAATAATAATAATAATAGCTAGACTATTAATTAGTCGCGGTTAACGTTAGACTAAGCCCTAGTGATATTGATACTAGGTTTTGCTGAAGGAAAATTGTGTTAAGAGTAACGAAGTGTTGTCCAAGCGCCAAGTCACCACCTAATCGGGTGAGTGCATAGTTCTTTTCATCTTACACATAGATATGAAGTATTTTATATAAATTACGTGTTATGTGTGCATATTGTCTGAGTACTTGTTGTCTATGCTGGATGAACGTTTTATACATGTTTTAAATGATTTAAACTGTATACGTTTTTTATATATACAAATATGTTGGGTATGACATGGGTAGATGAATGATGA